TGATGATGATGATGGTGAAAATGACTGGGTTGGTGTTGACGGTAATGTAGACAATAAATGCATTATGAAATCTAATTACCACAATTTTCTTTTTACAGAACTTATAGCCATGAGTGCCCTCCAACAGAGATAAAAAAATATTATTATTATTATTATTATTATTATTATTTTATTTTTTTTAAAATAGTAAAAAAATTATTTTGATACCAAAATGGTGGGGCGACAGAAATATAGGACATTGAAGGTTGGTACAATATTTGAGATAAATCGGTTACATAGAACTTGAGATGTCATGTCAACCATGTTGAAAAAAGTTTTGAGGAAAAGCTTCAAGTTTTCAAAAGAATACGTTACTACTACCTTCGGTTAAACGATTTTCAAGTGTTTTGGCTTGACTATATTCATACATTTATACTCGTATAATGTGCATGGTGATTCACTATATTTTTGACCCCCTTTAACTTTTTTGTTTTAAGAGTTATAAAAAAATGTAAAATACAAAAATTGCACGATTTTTTATGAATTTTTCGAAAGTCCAAACAAAATGGCCGCGGATGTTAACTTTGTTAATTTAAATGGGACACCCTGTATATTTTTATATATTTCGATAGGACGTTCCTTGTCGAACATAGTCATATAGGGTTTGTTGAGTCTATCTGTAACAATAAGCGAGATACTATTAAAAAAAGGAAATAATGTTTTTTATTAAGAAAATAAGATATCTTGTAATTGTTAGACCTCTTTCAGGCATTTCTGCCCTTTTTCCAATTACGTAAAGATTGACAGATTTAGTTGTAATATATTTTAACATATCGGACCACTGATACGATCCAAAATGCGTATAGGTATTTTAACTAAATCTCACTAATTAGGCCGTGCGAGGCCTAATTACTTTTGAACAATGTTATGATAACATTGTTATTGATTGATAGCTTGTATTATTAAGTATTTAATAATTAAAATAGATTACACAGAAGTAGAAAATTGAAATATTATTAGGAATTAAAATAGAGTATGGAGAAGATCTTTACTCTATTTTAATTCCTATATTTCAATTTTCTCGTTCTGTGTAACAGCTAATTAGTGAGATTTAAGTTAGCATACCTATACGCATTTTGGACCATATCAATGTCCGATATGTGAAAATATATTACAACTAAATCTGTAAATTCTTACCGACGTAATTGGAAAAAAGGCAGAAATGCCTGAAAGAGGTCTAACAGTTACAAAATATCTTATTTTCTTAATAAAAAACCTTCTTTTCTTTTGCTAATCTCGCTTATTGTTAGAGATGGACCCAACAAACCCTATATGACTATGTTCGACAGAGAACGTTATGTTTAAATATGTAAAAATATACAGGGCGTTCCATTTAAATTAACAAATTTAGCATCCGAGGCCATTTTGTTTGGACTTCATTTGTTTTTCCACTATTAGTTTTGAAAATTTCATAAAAAATCGTGCAACTTTTCTATTTCACATTTTTTTATAACTCTAAAAACAAAAAAATTAATGGGGGGGGTCAAAATATAGTGAATCGCCCTGTACATTCAGCAAAAGAATTAGAGGAGCAAAAAAATTACCAAATTTTTTTAGTGATTTTTTTAAAAGCTCTAACTTCGTGAAAAACGGTCCTATCGAGAAAAAAATGAAGCAATTTGAAGGTTGAAGATTCTAGTTTTGAAATCTTGTGATGAAAAATTTTTTTGAGCATCACTCTCGGCCAATCAAAAGAAATATGTACCTATATCAAAAATTAAAAAAAAATGTTAAAAATTGCATATGGGCTCAGAAAATTAATTTTTTTCTGGCTTAATCAATGCCAAGGTCTTTTAATCTGATTCATCAGCTTCAATTTGTTTTTATTTATTTTCTGTATTTTCTCGTTGAGATGTCGGCTATTGATTGAAAAGACACCTTTTTTATGATCACCGATATCTCATGAACTAATGAACGTACAGCTAACTGAAGGTGGGTTTTAGAAACCTAAATCAATCCTCTTCAAGAGCCTTTTCCTATATTTGAGAAAAAAAAAATTTATACATTAATTTGAAAAATCACTTTTTCTACTTTTTTGGAAAATCAACGACTACTTTGCAAATATTGTGAAAAGTACCAATATGTATAGGTTTCTTTTAGCTCGATATATGCCCATGAGGCCCGTAAATTTTGAAATTGATCGTTCGAACCGTTTTCCTTTCCCGAATCGTCAAAGTTTTATAAAAAATTAAATGTGCAGGTTTATTGCTCCTTAAACATCAATTAATGATTAAGACGAAAAAAAATTTTTTACGTTATTTTTCTCACAATTTCGAGTTAAATACTCATCAAACATCGAAACAAATTCTAAATTTTGAAAAAATTTTACATCCTCTTTTTTTACAATTTTACATTGAATATTTCAAATGTCGAAAAAATATATATTTTTTTAATTTAAAAAAAAATTGAAAATTTGGATTTTATTTCAAAATTTTTAATTTTTTTTTCGATATTCAATGAGTCTTTAACGCGAAATTGTGAGAAAAATAACGCAAAAAAGTTTGTTTCATCATAATCAATAATTGATGTTTAAGCAGCAATAAACCTGCACATTTAAATTTTTATAAAACTGACGATTCAGGAAGGGAAAACGGTTCGACCGACCCATTAGAAAATTTACAGGCTTCATGCGTACGTATTGAGATAAAAAAAACCTCTGGTAAAGTAAAGTAAGACATTGGTACTTTTCTCAATATTTGCAAAGTAGTCGTTGATTTTCCAAAACAGCAGAAAAAGTCATTGTTTGCCCTTTTTCAAATTAATGGGTATAAAAAAAATTTCAAACATAGCAAAAGGCCCTTGAAGAGAATCGATTCAGGTTTCTAAAACGCATCTTCCGTTCGCTGTACGATCATTAGTTCATGAGATATCGATGATAAAAAAAGTGACTTCACTCAATAGCCGATATCTCAATGGGAATTAATCGTACAGAAAATTAAAAAAAAAACTAAATTGAAGCTGAAGAATCAGGCTAAATAACCCTGGCATTGATTAAGACAGAAAAAATCTTTCTGAATCCATGGGCAGTTTTGAAAAAAAAATTGTAAAATTTTTACCTTGTATTATTTCTATTGAGTGTGAAATTTTCATGTCAGTATTTCAAAACTAGAATCTTCAAGCTTCAAGATGCTTCTTTTTTTCTCTCGATACGACCTCTATTCACGAAGTTACAGCCTTTCAAAAGTCACTAAAAATTTTTCTGCTCCCTTATTTTTTTTTGCTGAGTGTAGATTATTATCAAATAGTCTGCAA